GTGACAACGCTACTCATCCATAGGCACAGCGAGTGAACCTTTCCAACATAGGACAGGAAGTATATCACTGGCAGGATCACCAGGTGAATATAAAGGGAAAAAAATGAAAAATGCATCCACCACATCTAAGGACTAGTAAGCAGCAATAGATTATATTTTTGTTTTTGGGCTTAGGTATACGTTAAGGGTGCTGCTGCACCCTGCATAGTTTTTGAGGAGCCATAACTCTGAAGGAACAGAACAGAGTGTAAACAACACCTGCCCTTTTTAGTAATATATCTTGAAGCGCTTCTTTAACTACTTCCCGTCCACAGCAATTAGTTAATTTTTGCACACATGATAAAATCTGATTCTTTGGCTAGAAAACAGCTTAAAACCCCCAAACAGTTATATAGTTTTTGTAAGAAGAGGCCCTGTAAAATAAAAACATGCTAGTTGCAATTTTTTTATGTTGCACAAAATGTTTATGAAACCGATATTTTTAGGATAAAAGTTACCATTTTTGGTAACATTTTAAAGATGGGGTCCTGTCGGGTAAACATATACCAAGCATGTCAAGCCTTAAAATTGCACCTGTGAAATGGCAAAAAAAAAACTACATTACCTAAAATTGTCCATACGTGACATTTTTAAAAGCCTTCACCGCTCATCAATTTAGTGTTAACACTGAGTGATGATCATAGAGTTCTTATTCTCACTCTGACATTTTCAGTGATATGTAACATGTGTGGCAGACAGGTATGAATATCATTTGACATAGGAGACTGACTTTCATTGTCTGACTTAGGCTAGGTTCAGATATCAGTGATCCCTGGACTCCCCAATTGTGCACGGCGATTGCCGCGTGGCCCCATTGATTTCATGTACCTCTTTTTGCGACACACACCGCATGGTTTTCGTGAACCGCAATCGTGCGCCATTGCATGGGCAGTATCATGGCGGGAAACCGTGCAATCTGTTCAGCGCAACTGGGGTGCCATTAGAAAATAATGGCACCGCCAGTGCGATCGGCAACTCCGTGACCGCACAGGCAACCGCATAGTTTCGTGCACGCCTGCCACACAGTCACAGATCACCATAGTGTGAACCCTGCTTTATATGTGCATGCAAAGATTAGATCAAAGGATAACTGGAAAGGGATAGCGTAGATGCAGGGGCATCCCCGGGCGTGGTGTCACCCGGAGCAGCCACCAGATGCCATCACGTGAGCTTACCTGTCGGTAGCCATCTTGGTGATGGACAGCGGCAAAGGAGGGTACGTTCACTCGGTGGGATAAGGTATGCCGCTTTATCCCCTCCTCTCTGTCCATGACCGAGTACCCGACTTTTCAGAAGGGGGGGGGGGGGGGGGGGCGAC